GATTTAAAATCCAGAATTAGGTCCCCTAAAAGCTCCCAAAGAGCAAAATGATGCAAAAGATGCCACACAAAAGGATAGAATTAGAAAAACACCAGACTTCTTAGCAGCAACATTGGATATGAGAAAGCAATTGAGTAATAGAATCAAAAATCTTACAGAATATAATTTTCAACTTATAATTGTACACCCTGCCAGGTTAATAGTTAAGTGTGAGGTTAAAGTTAAGACATCTTCATTCATTCATAGACAATTTGGCACTCTTTCATAGGAAGCTTTGAGAAAATATTCCAGTAAATCCGGAGTAATCTAAAAAAGGAGAAGTCATGGGATCCAGGAATAGGTGGATTTAACTCAGGAGAGAAGTGAAGAGAAGGCCCAGTCTGAAAGCTCAGAGGCTACCAGTGGAGCATGAAGAAGGAGGCTGGAGATGAGTATGTGGAAAGAATTAAGGATTTGTATGTGGAAAATTTTGCAAGTAAAATAATAATTAGTTTTTTAAGCCCACCAGAATCCTGCACATGAGGGGAATTGTAATCATACACTACTTAACTCTGCAGTAAAATCACAAATAATTTGTTGTGTATTATATTGATATAAACCTTTATATTGGTGAGGAACCTTGTCTTTGCAAGTAACTAAAAACTCAAAGTGGCTTAAACCGTAAAGGAAATTACAGTATTTCTGTTACATACTTGGCAGAAGGCAGTTTAGCCTACAGATGAGGTTTAATTCAGGGGCCCTCTAAAATCTTTTAATTTCTCCTCTTGGCCTTCTGCAGTATCTATTTAAAATAAGACTGGCTTTCCCCCAGGTTGCAAGGTGGCTTCCAGCACTTAGGGACTTTAATTTTCCTCATTCATGTCCACCAGGGAAAGAATATTTCTCTAGTTTTGCAGAAGAACAAGGAAATGCATGCTGTCACCTTCCTCCAGCAGACTTCTCATTGGTGATGTTAGGTACCTGCCTTTTCTTGAACCAGTCACTATAGCTTGAGGGATGGGGTTCAGCCAATCAGAACCCACCTTTGTAGCTGGAGATGGGGTCAGCTTTTCAAGAAAGTATCCACTGACTAGGGAAATGGGTGGGTGTTCATTCCAAAAGGGAATCAAGGCACAGTTCCAAGAGGAAAGAGAATGAATGTTACTGGCTACCAACCAGTCAATGTCTATTTTACGACATAAATTATTTAACTAAAAGTAGTAGTGAAATTGCTAGAAAAGGCAGTGCAGATTGGGAGAATGAAAGAGCCAAACCCATATCCATCATAATTCAAAATAAGTAGAGAAAGTCAAATGCATGGATCAATAAGCAGCAGTTTAAGCATATTATTTGGAAATATGGAGCTAACTAGTAGAAAAGTTCTAAAGAATGATAAATAATTACCTCAGGGGAAGGCAGTATTAAAATAATTAAAAATAATTACCCCCCATTACCTGGGGGGATGGGTGGCATAGGGCAGGGCATGATGCTTTTTCATGAGAAGTTTTTTATATGATTACATTTAAAAACTGATCATGAATTACTTTGATGAAAACTTTTTAAAAAAGTAAACTCCAATCTTTCATGAGAAAGAAATCATGAAATTAGACGAAATGGAAAAGCAGAAGGCTGATGATTTTGCCTTGTGGTAAAGTTGTATAAAAAACTCCAAAATGAGCTGGGCATGGTGGCGCATGCCTGTAATCCCAGCTACTCGGGAGGCTGAGGCAGGAGAATTGCCTGAACCCAGGAGGCGGAGGTTGCGGTGAGCCGAGATCGCGCCATTGCAGTCTAGCCTGGGTAACAAGAGCGAAACTCTGTCTCAAAAAAAAAAAAAAAACTTGCGGGATTTGGGGTGCTGTCAAGAAGCTGGCCCTGGTTCTCTTCTTTCCACATAGGTCAGCTTTTCTAGAGGTCAGCTAATACTCTTTCCACGTAGGTCAGCTGGTACACATTGTCTCCTTTCGTCACAGTCTCACTGCCAATGTTGCTCCTCTCCTCTCCTTGGACCACAAATGCTGCCTCCAGCAGCCCTCGAAGGCCTTTTCTCTAGTTTGCCTCCCCAACCTGATCCCAAACCACCCATTCCTCCAGGCATCCTGTACCTCACAGGGAATCACTGTGTACAAAAGCATTTCTGGGGCACAGGGTGCAAATATAGGATGTCCCCCTTGGGGAAATAGGTACAAAAAAACAGACCACAGAGAGAATGTGGCTTAGACACTGCAGGTCTTTCTTAGCTGCCGGGACTGGAGCAGAAAGGTGGACCTCAATGTTGATGGATAGAAGTGGCAAGAGAAGGGGCTGTTTTCAAAACTGATGATTTCCTGTTTCTCCAAGGGGAGGTTTGTATCTTACTTGTGGGCAAATTATATCTTAAGATATAGTTTAATGAGACTTTGGTTTCACAGCTGTAAGTCAAAAACATTCTTTTCTGAAATGGAATTTGCAGGGCAGTGAAGAATGAAACCCCTCTTCACCATGATGTTAACAGTGAGTCTCCACTTTGGGCTGAGTTAGCTGTTTGCAGTTCATGGGAAACAGAGACCGGAGATATATTTTTCTTTCTTGCTGGACCCCACTGAAAACTGGACGGGGGATGAGGATCTACACTCATGTTGGGAAGATAGAGACAAAGCAATTCTGTGTGCACAGTGTCAGACTGGATCCGAGAGAGAGAGGAGAGACGAGAGAGAGAGAGAGAGAGAGAGAGAGAGAGAGCGAGCGCCAGCACTCTACACTGCAATCCTATTCTGTTCCACATGCAGCTTCAGTAAAATTGTGTGAAATGTTACAATGTGGTTTTCACTGTTCTCTGGGGGAATTTAGGATGGGACTTTTAAGAGAGCAGAAATAGTCCAGAGAAATGCAACACAGGGATGAAGGAACAGGTTGCCCAAAAGCCAGGCAGCTGCTTGATGTTCAAGTGATGATCAGGGGCTGCTTTGTGAGACACAGAAGCATTCCTTGGGGATTTCCGAAGATCTCAGGGGGAGAGAAACCTGATAAACAGCCAGGCTTTCTTTTAGATAAGCTGTCTGGGGACTTGGACTATCACTAGCTTCTAAGGAGAAGGTTGATTTTGGAAGGCTGTAGAACTTGGGGTCCTGGAGAGCTTTTTAAGACACTGAGTAAAGTTCTGGTGCTAACCCTATGGTCTTAGCCATTTATTACTGTAGTTTTGGCTTCTCCAAACCCTTATCAGAGAAACAGCCAATGAAGGATCTCAAAGATCACAATCAAAACAAATGCCAGCTAACTACACTGAAATCCACACTGCAACTGGACACATTCACTCAGACAGTTCAAACTGGGCAATTCCCATGAGCTCATGCCTCATTCCTAATATTTCAGCTGAAATCTCACACCTGTTAGAGCTTCCAATTCCTCATTCATATTACATTCACTAACTTCCATCTTAAATCACTACAAACAATTTTCATGAATTCCTGGGGAAATCTTGGAGTCCTTTTTTAAGGAAAAAAAATACAGAAAGAGGAAACACAGGGAATTATAGACTAGCAATTCTTTCTTATTTCTAACCTCCATCCTAAATTACTACAAGCCATTCTCATACATTCTTGGGGGAAATCTTGGAGTTCTTTTTTAAGAAAAACAAAAATACAGAAACAGAAAACAGAGAATTGTAGACTAACTACCCTTCCTTATTTCTAAATAAATTTCGCTTCAGTTGGAATATCAGATTCCATGCAGGAGCCACACATTCAATGCCTATGTTGGAGCTGTGCATTCTGTGTTGACAGCACACCCCATCCCAGAACACTAGGTAAAATATTTAATTACTGATAAAAATGTAAGTCCTACAGAAATACCCAAACGCAGACAAAAATTTTGACTCAAATGATTACCATAAAACAAGAAAATCCCTAAACAAAGGATTATGCCCAGTTAGAATTATATTCATGGAGCCTCAAATTTGTGTTCCCAGTTTTACTTATTGAATACCCCAGTTTTCAGACCTTCACTAGCTGACAGAGTGCTGGCCCCAAAGTGGGCTAAATTTTCAGGGAAGTGGTCCCAGCCACCTGGAGCCCTCATAGCCAGGAGCCCTTTCCTGGTGGCTTCTGAGCAGCTGCTCTGAGCTGTCCAGGAATCGGTTCCTCTCTGCGTGCTGGGAGCCCCTTGGAGATGGTGCTTTCTCTTTCCCTCTCTTGGTTAGAACAGAGAGTTCTTCTGAGGTTACCAGCTCTCTGCAGCTGTCCTTTGGAACTTGGTCTCTCTTTTTTTTTTCTCTCTGGCTCTCCAGTCCACAAACTCCCAGCTCTTCCCTGTGGCCCCCAAGTTTATAAGTCCTTTGTCCAGGTATTTGGTGACAGGTGAGAGAGTATAATGCTTGAGCAGTGCCTTTGGTGTTACAGAGCTTCATCAGATCCTAACTCAAGTGCTTACCCTCTGTGTGGCCTTGTACAAGTGATTCCAATTTGATCTGAAATATGGTGGTAGTACAGCCCTGGCTTGTTGGGTTGTTGTGAGGATCAATGAGATGATACATGCACAGCACTTGGCGCGGTGCCTGGCACATGTTAGACATCCAATAAATGGCAGCTATTAATATCCCTTCCTACTTGCAAATAAGGAAAGGCAAAATTGCTTATTTGAGTCTAAAATAGAAAGTCAGTATTTTTTTTTTTTTTTTTTTTTGACAGAGTATTGCTCGTCACCCAGTCTGGAAGGCAGTGGCATGATCTCAGCTCACTGCAACCTCTGCCTCCCAGGTTCAAGGCGATCCTCCTGACTCAGCTTCCCCAGTAACTGGGATTATAGGCACACATCACCATGCCAAGCTAATTTTTGTATTTTTAGTAAAGACGGGGTTTTGCCATGTTGGCCAGGCTAGTCTTGGACTTCTGATATCAATGGATCTGCTTACCTCGGCCTCCCAAAGTGCTGGGATTACAGGCGTGAGCCACCACACCCAGCCAGAAAGTCGGTACTTTCATATAAAGTTAATTCATAGCAGCAATTGTTAGACCAAGGCCCTGATAATTCTTATTTTTTGGTTTGTCCTAGAGCAGCAGCAGAATAAATAAACAAGACTGAATTGTTTGAGAACCCATCAACTCCTAGTTAATCGATAATAACTAAGGTATTCTTTGAAGCAGGCCTGAAGGGCAAAGCAGACATTTGTCTGGCAGATGAGGGACCAGCCAGGATGGCCAAGGCGTGGCTGGTGTCCCGTCACTCCCTCCACCCCGACCCCAGCTGCCTCTTCCCTGCCTGTGGCAGACGTTATCAATCTGAGCATCTCATCTTCTTGAGCCTGGATTATGCTTTATGATAGTTTTCTTTCCTTTTTGTTTTTCTGTACTAAAGCATTTGGAAACAAATTCCAGATAGCGTGTCCTGCCACTCTTGCAGCATATATCTCTAAAAAATGTGGATGTTTTCTTACGCAACAGCAGTGATATTATCACACCCAACAAAATTAACAATAAATCCTTTCTATTACCTAATACCCAGTCCTAATCAAATTTCCCTGACTGTCTCAAAAATGTTTAAGATCATGTTCAACACAGCTGTGGAGCCCCTCTACCCACGGTCAGAGGTTTAAGCAGGAGAAATGGCATTTTCAGATGTATGAGTTGGAAGCGTCTACAGGCTGTCCTTTGGGAAATGGAATAAAGGGGCGCCTTCTACCTCAGCATGACTTGGTAACTTCAAGAGCTTCTTCCTAGATGGGGCATTCCTTTCTGAGTTCTAGTCCCCTGAATGAAGATCCAGGAAGCAAAGGGACCCTCCTACAAACAAGACTCTGGGACTCAGGGTTGCAGGGTTTTCCTGGGGTGACCCCAGCAGATAGAACCCTGCCCTGCACAGCAGTGAGTGGGTGGATGATACAAATAGAGCAGTTAAGGGGGCCTCAGCCTCCAGGGAGATGCTAATCCTACCCTGGAGGACTGGCCATGGGAGCTAGACCTCTCCCCAGCTGGCCAGGTCATCTGTCCCCTCTGCACCCTGGGGAGTAGGCACCCAGCGTGCTTTGGAATGAACTGCCAATCTGCTTCCAGGGAACGGCATAGATTTTCTATTTCCTGTGCATGTCTACAAGGAAATTGGAGGCTCAATTTCAGGATGCCTGGGCCTGCACAAAGACAGTGATGATGGCTATTGTCTGGAAAATGGCTCATTGTGGCGATGGGGTGGGGGGGCAGCAAATTAAGAGTCTTTGATCAATGACTGTGCATTCCTTTCTCAGGGAGCTGAGATTGTGCTCTGGCAGACAAAAGTCTGATTTAGTGCATGACACACTGAAGTCCAGAGAGAGGGGGACGTCCTTGCAGGAAACAGAAGAGGATTTCGACCAAGATCTCATGGTCCTCAGGGGTCCTGCTGTCCAGCTACTGAGCCTGACAGACAGGTCAGGAGCTCAGGTGGCAGGGCAGAAACAGGGCTAGGGCAGCCTAGCAAGGAGTTGCAGGAGTTATTAAAAACTTTGGGATGGCAAAAGAGGCCTGAGGGTTTGTATTTTTGACCTCATGCTCTTTATGACATTGCCTTAGCTCTTCTAGGGAAAATAGAAAATGGATCTCTTTTCCTTTCTTCCATTCCCTTTCATTCTTCCCTCATTCACTCATTTATTCACTCCTTTATCCAATGACCAATTATCAAGGGGGCTCCAACATGTCAGCCACTGTATCCAAGGCTTAGGATAAGATGATGAAAAAGACAGACATGCTTTCTGCTCTCATGGGATTTATAGACCCAGGGTGAGACAGACACTAAATCATGAACACAGGGATAGATGCAATGATTACAAATTGTAGTTAAATATTATGAAGAAAGTAAAAGTGCTGAAACAGGAAATTGGATCGTCTACGACTTGCTCCCTCCCATGTGTTGTCTACCAGCCTATGGAGAGGGTTGAGCCCTATCTGGCACCTGCCTTGCTTATCCCTCACCTGCAACTATTGGTTCTGACCTGACCCAACTGCCGGCTCCTCCCTGGTAACAGGCAGGAGAGATTTGAGAGCTCTGGCCCAACTCTCTGAGACTGTGTCAAGACAGTGGCTGATTAGGCCTTGACCTTAAGCCCCAGACTTATTCCTGAGCTACATACCCCGTCAAAAAAAAAAAAAAAATCAAAAAAACAAACAAAAAAACTTCTACAAATATTTTATTTTTTATCAAGATAAAACTCTTCCTGTTCTCCATCATGGTGGATCAAGGTGAAAAGGAGAAGCCCATGCGGGAATTTTGCATCCAAAAGCTCTGTCTCAACATCTGTGCTCGGAAGAGTAGAGACAGACTGACCTGAGCAGCCAGGGTGTTGGAGCAGCTCACAGGGCAGACCCCTGTGTTTTCCAAAGCAAGATACACTGTCAGATCCTTTGGCATCTGGAGAAATGAAAAGATTGCTGTCCACTGCACAGTTTGAGGGGCCAAGGCAGAAGAAATCTTGGAGAAAGGTCTAAATATGCGGCAGTATGAGTTAAGAAAAAAAACAACTTCTCAAACACTGGAAACTTTGGTTTGGGATCCAGGAACACATTGATCTGAGTATCAAATATGACCCAAGCTTTGGTATGTATGGCGTGGACTTCTTTTTTTTTTTTAATTATACTTTAAGTTCTGGGGTATACATGCAGATCGTGCAGGATTGTTACATAGGTATACACGTGCCATGGTGGTTTACTGCATCCATCCCCCCCGTTATCTACATTGGGTATTTCTCCTAATGTTATCCTTCCCCAATCCCCCCACCCCCTGCCATCCCTCCCCTAGTTCTCCCACCCCACAACAGGCTCTGGTGTGTGATGTTCCCCTCCCTGTGTCCATATGTTCTCATTGTTAAACACTCACTTATGAGTGAGAACATGTGGTGTTTGCTTTTCTGTTCTTGTGTTTATTTGCTGAGAATGATGGTTTCCAGCTTCATCTGTGTCCCTGCAAAGGATATGAACTCATCCCTTTTTATGGATGCATAACATTTCATGGTGTATATGTGCCACGTTTTACTTATCCAGTCTATCACTGATGGGCATTTAGGTTGGTTCCGAATCTTTGCTATTGTAAACAGTGCCACAATGAACATTCATGTGCATGCGTCTTTATAATAGAATGATTTATAATCCTTTGGGTATATACCCAGTCATGGGATTGCTGGGTCAAATGGTATTTCTATTTCTACATCCTTGAGGAATCGCCACACTGTCTTCCACAATGGTTGAACTAATTTACACTCCCTTATGGCCTAGACTTCTGCGTGGTGCTGGGTAGGCAGACAAGAAGCACAGGACAGGCTGCATTGGGGCCAAACACAGAATCAGAAAAGAGGAGGCCATGCACTGGTTCCAGCAGAAGTGTGATGGAATCACCCTTCCTGGCAAATAAATTCCCATTTCTATTCAAAAGTCCAAAAAAAGGTTCTCAGTGAAAAACAAACAAAGAACCCCCAAAACTTCTACAAATGTGTAGTTCATTTTTTATCAAGATAAAACTCTTCCTGTTCTCCATCATGGTGGATCAAGGTAAAAAGGAGAACCCCATGCCGGAACTTTGCATCCACAAGGTATAAATTACGTGACGTGAAGCACACAGGTCTTGGTCTGTCCATTTTTCTTCATCGTTTTGAAACTCTGTTATTAGATACACACATATTTAGGATTGCTCTGTCTTCTTGGTTAATTGACTCTTTTCTCATATGAAATGTCCCTTCTTACCTCTAGTGATAGTTCTTGTGTTGAATCTACTTTGTCTTTCACAACATATCTTCTTTTCATCCTTTTATTTTTAACCCCTCTGTGCTTTTACATTTAAAGTGGGTATCTTACAAATAGGATACAGTTGAGTATTATTTCTTTAAATCATTAATCTTTGCCTTTTAATTGGAGTGTTTAGTTCACTTAACACTTAACGTAATTATTGATTTGGTTGGGTTGAAATGTACCATTTTGCTATTTGATATCTATTTTTTCTTTTCTTCTTTTCTGCTCTCTTTAAATTCATGAGAATTTCCAACATTCTATTTTTTATCTCATCTACTAGCTTTTTATCTACATCTGTTTTAGATGGTTACTCTAGGAATTGCAATATGCATTCTTAAATTAACAGAGTCTATCTTGACTTAATATTATTCCACTTCACATACAATGTGAGAATCTTACAATAGTATACTTCCATTTCCTCCCTCCTTTGCACTATTTTTGACATTTATTTTATTTTTACATATATTAACTCCCACAATGCGATGCTATTATTTTTGCTCTAAACAGTCATTTTTCTTTTAAATAAGTTAAAAATTAAGGAAAAAGTATTTTACATTTACTCATATATACTATCATTTTTGGTGTCCTTTATTCCTTGATGAGGATCTTAGCTTCCACCTGGTACCATTCTTCTTTAGCTTGGTGATGAATTCTCTCAGCTTTTATTTATTTCAGAATTTCTCTATTTCATCTTCATTTTTGAATGATTTCTGAATACAGACTTAGAGTGATGGGCTATTTTTCTTTTAACATTTTAAGATCTCCATTGCCTTCTGACTCGCATTGTACTTAATGGTAAATCAATGATCTTTCTTACCTTTTTCATTCCCCTACCTACATGCATCTTTTTTTGGTCTGTTTTGGGATTTTCTCTTTTACTTTGTTTTTCAGAAATGTTATCGTTTTGGTGATGGTGGTAAAGGCAGAGGCGTGTGTGTGTGTGTGTGTCTGTGTGTTTATATTGCTTGGGATTTGCTAAGCTTCTGGATTTGTGGGTTGACATCATCATCACATTTGAAACATTTTAAGTCTTTAAAAAAATTGGTAGACTTTGCTTTTTAGAGAAGATATAGGTTCACAGTGAAATTGAATGGAAAGCACACACTTCCCATATACCCCTTCACCTCTCACACATATAGCCTCCCCACCGTCAACATCCCACATCAGTGTGGTGCATTTATTACAACCACTGAACCAATATCAACACATTATTATCAACCAAAGTCCACAGTGTACAATAGAATTCACTCTTGGTGTTACACATTCTATGGGTTTTGACAACTATGTAGTGACATGTGCCCATCATTCCATCATCCTATGAAATAATTTTCCCGCTCAGAACATCTTCTGTGCTCCATATTCATTCCTGTTTCTTTCTCCCTTGAATTCCTGGCAACCAGTGATCTTTTTACTGTCTTCATATTTAATCTTTTCTAGAATGTCATATAGTTGAAATCATATACAATTTTCAGTTTGTTTTCTTTTACTTAGCAATATGCCTTTAAGGTTCCCCCATGTCTTCTCAGGGCTTAATAGCTTATTTCCTTTTAGGGATAAATAATATCCTATTGTATGGATGGTGACACAGTATGTTTACTTATTCATTTATTAAAGGACATCTCATTTGTGTCTAAGTTTTGGCAACTATAAATGAAATTGCTGTAAACATTCCTGTGCAGGTTTTTGAGTGGAAATAAATTTTCAACTCATTTGGGTAAATACTGAGGGGAGTGATTGCTGGAATGCATAGTCAGGGTATATTTAGTTTTATTAAAAAACAAGAGAAACTGCCAAAGTGTCATCCAAAGTGACTGTACCATTTGCGTACCCACCAATAATGGATGAGGCATTCCTGTTGTTTGCATTTGGTGTTGTCAGTGTTTTAAATTTTGGCCATTCTAATAGGTAGGTGTGTAGTGATATCTCATTGTCTTCATCCATAATTCCCTAATGATGTATGAAATTGAGCATTTTTCATATGCTTATTTGCCATCTGTATGTCATTTATGAAAGCCCATCTTTCATATGGCTATTTGCCATCTGTATTAAGTATCTATTCAGATACTTTGTTCACTTTAAATTGAGTTGCTTATTTTCTGAATTGAGCTTCAACAATTCTTCGTATGTTTTGAGCAGTCCTGTATCAAATATGTCTTTTGCAAATATTTTTTCCAATCTGTGGCTTTTCTTTTCATTCTCTTGACTGTCATTATTTCTTTCAAAATTTTTTCTGCACCGATCTCTCTCCTTTTTTTGTTTGAGCTCTGATTTCATTTATGTTATAATCCTTGGTATTGTCCCACAGGTCACTGAGATTCTGTTCCTTTTTCTCTATGTACTTCAGTTTTCATGGTTTCACGGGTTGTTTCCAAATTCACTGCTCTTAGTTTCCAGTCTATTGTTAAGCTCATCTAGTTAATTTTTCAACTCAAGTATTGCATTTTTCAGTTCCGTAATTTTTATTGGATTCATTTCATAGTTTACATTTCTCTGTTGAGGTTCCCCATGATTCGCTCCTTTCATACATATTTTCCTTTAAATCCTTAAACATATTTATAACAGATGTTTTAAAGTTTTTTACTGCTAATTCTAACACCTGCATCACCTCTAGGTAAATTTTTCTTCTGGTTATAGGTTATATTTCCCTATTTTGCATTTTTGGTATTTAAAAAATTATATGCTGGACAATGTGAATGCTGTGTTATGGAGATACAAATTTTTTATTGTCCTCTTTTAAATAATATAGCATTTTTGTTGTGGTAGGCAGTTAATTTGCTGGTGAGTCAGCCTGGCTCTGTCATGAATAAATTTTAGGCTTTCTTAGGGTGAGTGTAGTACAGTCCTTAACGCAGAGCTTTCTTGGAGCCTGCTGAATGCCTAGGGTATTTAGCAAGATCTCCACTCTGGCTGTCATAACTCCACCATCTCCCAGCACTATGTGACCTCCAATAAAGTAGTATGGCTCACTGCAGGCCAGGA